GGCTGAAAATGAGACGCCATCAAAGTCCGCTGCTTAATAAAGACACAAAGACACGAAAGGACCTTGGGCCGCTTTATGCAGAGGTCTTCTGGTGTAAGAGGACGCTAATGGGAAGTGACGAGCTCCAACTTTGTTCTTCTGCAAGTGCTGGATCAACTTTTTGTGCTGTTCTAACAACAAACTATTTAAACCCTTTGAATCTCCCCACGCTATCATATGCTGTCTGCAGCAGTGCTGTACAAGAAAAAGCCCAAAGTTGTTTGATTAAGCTAGAAGCATAAAAAAATTTAGAACAAATAGAAGCGGTACGAGGACATTAATTTAATACATATTCAGTACAATAGGTTCTCCACAAATCCTTCTGATCTACAGAGGCTCTTTAGCCCAGACCGTATTTCATCCCTGTAGGCAAATGTGGCCAAACAGAATATATTTTTTCATGGATATTCATAAGCAATTGATCTTCCGCTGTGCGATTACCTAATATGAACCTGATCCAAAGCCTTCTGAAGGACCTGGAAAGATTTCCAATAGACAGCCTGCTGCTGCCTAAGGGGCCGGTGCCCAAGGTGCCGTCCCCAGTGAGATGCAGGCAGAAGCCAACGCTGGGCTGGGACTGAAGTGGAAGGCCCCAGGACACAGCCCTGCACGTGAATGTCACTGTCACCTGGCCAAGAGGTGGAGGGGACCTTCGCTGCCTCAGCTAGGGATGCCTTCCTGCAGTGTGCACCTGACAGCACTCCTCAGAGCCAGGAGCTGCTGGGAAACGGGCTGGGGAGCCAGGCTGAGAATACTTTGACAGTAACAAGAGTCAGCCTTAACGTGAAATAACTCATTTATCAATTAAAAGGGATGAAAATTAAAGGGTTTGGGTCAGTTCAGGTTACTTCATGCATTTTTCATCAGGAGTAAGAATTTCCACGACGCACATAAACAGTCTCAGGTACTCAACTGCATTTTTCACTATGGCAGATGGAGCATGATAAACACTATCATTTTAAATTCCATATGTTAAATTAAATTGATATTAGTTTTTTTTTTTAGTATATTAAAAATATTTTGTTCTCATCTAGTGATTATTTTACAAGCTACAGACCACAATCTACAAAGATTACATTATCAGCACCTTGCAGCACCATTCCCATCCACCAGCCTGACTGCCCACCTAATGACAGAAGAGGATTTCACTTGCACATTTAATTTATGGCAACGTCCCATCTTTAGGGCACTTTCTGCACAGCTGTCCACATTTAAGACAAAAACCTGAAGACTTCCACTGCATCCTGCATTGCCATACCCCACGGCCACACTCCCCATCTCCCCCAGTGCTGCCTCCTGTCCCAGACCTGTCCTTTGTGATCTCAGGGAGGAGGGGAGGTTGGTCAAGTGCCAAGGATGGGAGACGGTGTGAAAAAAATCACAGCTCCTCAGGAGCACCATGGTGGCTTTCCTGGTAGAAAGGCAGAATTTGTTTTCAGGATATGATGATTCATGTTTTACAGAAGAACACACAAAAATATTTCCTTCTCAAGTTTGTCTGCTTGCGAACAATTCTTCTTGTTAAAACAAAACAAAAAAAAAACATCCAGTCATCCTGACACCTCTGTAATGACAGAGAATTCAACCTTGCAGAATGTAATTGCCCAATGAAGAATTTTGCCAGGATACCAAGATAAATGTAATTACTTACATTATGCATGTTAATGATTATGAACAAATAAGGTGTCTGCCTGGCTTTACAGCTCACTAGAAAGCCAACAGTTCCACTAGACATGGCTCCAGTAAGCCACGTTGGACGTTGCTGTAACCACCCCAAGTCTGAAACTAAGCCAGAGGAAATCAGTGGAAAGCCAGCTGCTGATGTCAAGTAAAAGAGAAAAAGCCAATAAAGAGCAATAGCTGCTATGTAGGGATTAACACCTTCTGCATAAAGGAACACCTTTGCCATTGCCAAGAGATCTTCAGTAGGAAGACCTGCAGACAGAGAGCTGCCAGATGGAGCTCACCAACATTAGTTACCATGAATTCCTAACCTTAACACACACTACCTGTGTCACACCGTGCAACTAAAAGCATAAACAACAAGCTGCTGCAGCTTTGTTGGCAGAGCAATGTGCAGCAATGCAATAGGCAGCAGCACAGGAGCTCCATCTGCACCTGCTGGTGGTTATTGATCAACACGATGAGGAGCGCCGGCCTTACTGCCAGACAATAACTATATCCCTACAAACCACTGATGGGCTAAACAAGCTATTAATGACAGGTTGCTCTCCATCATTTAAAACGGACTGACGCTGCTGCTTGACCACAAGGACAAGGAGGTTATTGCCTTGGAATGTTATACAAAAGACACAAATAAGATAGCTCTGCTGAAGAAACCACACGCACGGCTACGCAGTCCAATTTCAACGGAGTTACTAACAGAAAACAGAGCTGCAAACAGTTTCCTGTTCCAAGGTTTCTAAAGGTTGTTAAATTAGCAATGTATAATTCAGCAAACAAGCAGGCACCAGAGCAGCTCCTCCAGTTGGTGTTCTGAAGGAATCCATCAGAGGGTGGTGAGGCCCCAGCACTGCATCCCAGAGCTGTGTGTGCCCATCCTCCCAGTGGCTTTGGGCACCAGGTCTATGGGAGGTGTCCCTGCTCACAGTATGGAGTTGGCACAGGATGGACTTTAAGGCCCCTCCCAGCCCAACCAGCCCACAGCCCCAGGATTTGCATGCTTACTGACACCAACAGCCACATGAACTTCGTGAAGTTCTCTGGTCTACTGAGTAAGGAATTGTTTATGAAAGCGTGTTTTCACACTGAAAGTATTTGCAAGTAACAACTTGCAAAATATTTACCAAATTTTTGAAAAGCAGCCATGTGTAGCTAGATGCTAAACACCCAGATGGCAGATGCCATTAGGCACATGTTAGCAGTAAGACAGGCTGCAATCCAGCAAACAATACCTGTAAAATGCAATGAGAAAGCACATCCCATTTTAAATAAAAGATTAAATAGATTTATAATAAGTAGATTTATAATCAATAACTAGACTCTTGTTTCCATTGCCAACCGTGAGGAAAAAAAGGAGAAAACCAATTTCTTACAGGTATTTGGAGATGCAGAAAGGTGAAGCAAAAGAACTAAAGCAATAGTGTGGCTTAATTCTTCTGAGAAACGTCCCCATAATTTACTGGAGTTCAAAGGTCTTTCTGAACTTGTCTGCCATAACATTGAGATGTGAAAGTTTCCTGCCACGTGAAATGATGTGAAAGAATCCTCCCATCTGCAGGTGCCTCGGGAAACAGTTCATTTCCTTGAGCACCCGTTCCCAGGATGGATTTTCTGAGATCACAGGGAAAGGGAAAAAAGTCTTAAAGACCTGGAGGTTTTCGACAGATCTTTCACAGCAGTACAAAGCAGCTAATGTATTTCATGGCAATGACATTATTCAAGCATACAGCGAGTTACCGTGTCAAAGAACTTCAGGTTCCATTACTCTGCAGAGCTTCTTTCCAGCACATTTTCCCCCGAATCCCCATGAAACTCAGGACACGAGCAGGCAGAAATCCTGGCCCACCCTCCCCTGCCCCACTCTGCTCGGAAACCACAGACCTCCTCCTCCCAAACCCGCAGGTTTGAGGTGACATTATAAATCAGACCCGCAGCTCCAGCTACTGCAGCACTCCCAATTTAGAAGTAGTACCAGTCACGGTCATCTGTCAAGACTACAGCATCTTTATAATGCATTAGAAAAATTCTCTGAACCCATCAGATTACAACGACCTGACACCAGCAGAGGAATGAAACATTTTAAAAATTTATTTAAGAGATTCAACTAGCATGCAAGATACCTATGGAACCAGCAAACAAAATTAATTTTCCAACTGCTCTTAGAACTATTCATAGCGCTCGGCTATTTATTCCATTTACAGATTCTAAATACGAGTTGCAATGGAGCATTTAATATGCCATCATTATAAAAGGCAAACTGTTGACAGAACACGCACACTGCTATCCTGCTCTTAGTCCAAGAAGGTACTGGAATATATTGGAATACCAGCTCCAACAAAGCACGCTTCCCACGCGACCCCCAGAATGGGAAGCAACAACAGAAAAGCAATTTGTTCAAATGCTCGTGCAATACACTGTGATAAGATTTTATTTTAACAGCAGTATGGAACAGTATGCATTATTTAGGTATTATATGAAAGATTAAGCATGAATGTAAGCGCTTCTCCTGAGGTACTGAAACACACGTGCCATTACTAGTGAGTATTTTGATTTAATGGGATTTAATAATCTGTTTAGATGAACTACTCCACGCTCAGATGATGCTGATGCTAACATTCTACTCTCAAGGAGCTTCAGACTTGTGACAATATTGCATTTTTTCCAGTTGTGATCAACTGATTTGTTTTTAATGCTAAGTATGTCTTGCCATCACTTGTGGTTTGAATATGTTTACTTAAACCAAAAATACTTTGCATCTCAATTATTATTTTATACTGCAGCACTGAATGGAACTTAACTCAATACATTATTCATAAGGCACAGACAGCAGAAAAAACAAAGCTGTGCACTTCTTTCAAAGCCGTCAAATTACTAAAACACACCATATTTATGCATGCAATATTTGATTGTGTGTGTGTCTTCTTTTTGTTGGGTTTTTTTTTTTTTGTCACAAGTTTGTTGATTTCAGATCAGGATATGCCAAAAAACCCTACACCAAACAATTTTTTGTTTATAATTAAGGTAATCATCAATCCAAGGATTGTAGTCCATTTTATTTCATCTCTACATCAAAAAAAAGTAATTTAAAAAAATTAAAATTCCCTTGAAATGGTAAGATAAATGAAAATGTAAGTGCCTTCACACAATAACAGTAAGCTGACCCTCTGGGAAATGGTTGACTTTCTCAATTCAAGGTATTCAAAGCTCATTCAAAAGTGTTCATTTGGAATGCAGATATCAAAGATGATGCAAATGTTCAAGAGAAAATTAAAACTTACCAGATGTTCTAATCCAGCTTTGATGTTTCCAGCATCCCTGCAACAGAAGAACAGAAGTCCTAAATAGTTGCTAAATCCTTGTCTGAAACAATTTATATTTAACTCTGAAAATGGCAAAGCCATGAAATTCCTTGATTATGTAAAATTTTTATTTTTAATATCTTAATCGTTAAAATACTTTTAGAGTATTGACCACCCAAATGCACAGCTACAGAATTATTTATAACCTCAAATTTTACCTGCCTTAAACCCGCAATAAACATCAGCAAAGCAATAGAACACTCACTTGAAGAAGCATTTTTAAGATAATTACCCCACAACTTCATAGTGAACTTAATAAAGCAAAACACTGCATAATGGTGTTTATGAAATCCACTCTCTGTGGCTTTACATTGGTTCTGCCTCATCACTGCTCCAACAGTACAACTGGAGACTGGTTAAGAGGCAGTGCAGTGCATGAACTGTACATTAACCAAGCAGGTTGTGGGAAGAAAAGACCAAGCTACCAATAAAAAAAAAAGAAGGGAATAAGAGAACTCAGAGCAAAACACAGCCCATGAAATACCTTGCCATTGCAGTGCTCATACAGTGTAGTGCTATCCTGGAGCAGTAAAGCTCACAAGGTTACCTGCAACTACTCTGCTACTTGAAGAGAGCATCCAAACCAAAGTAAAACAATAAAAATCCCCAGGCCACCAAGTAAAGGAAGCTGGTTCTGCTTTCATCGGCCCCCGGTGCCAAAAATGCTTCCAAAAATGTAATCGTGTTGTTTGAGGAAAATGGGCCTTCAGCATGCCAAGCAAGGAGAAACTGCGCCCAGAAGCATTTCAAAAAATCAGGTAATGAACTGCATGACCATAGAATGGTTTGAGTTGTAGTGTACATTTATAATACTTCTTTTTTTTTTTTTCCTCCAACAAATTATTAAACTGTATCAAGCCACAGGAGCAAAAAGTCCAACTCTACTCCTCCACCAAAGCAATGCAAAGATTGATGCTTTCATTCCCTTCATGCAAGCTATGGGCTATAGAACACAAGGTGAAGTAGAACAAAACAACTATAGAGCATGAAGTTTTATTAAATTCAGAATATGTTCAGTTGCACTTTATGCAGCTTAGCTGTACCTTAGACTTCTATATAAAGCTTTTATTTAAGAGTTCATAAAGCTTTCTAAAAAAATGCACATGCTCTCCATCAAAGTGGAAGCGTATCATGGACAAAGCAACAGATACGTCTTCCTTACACTGTTACTCAGCATTTTGAAATGAGAATATACTATTTGAGTTTGCAAATACTTCAATAGGAATTGTCTTCAACATCCGTTGCGAGGTGCTAAATGGCCTTAAGGAAACTGCTTGGGAAGCAGGATCCAAGACGCTGATGTTAGGAGCTCCCCACTAATGGTATAAAGCCTGCCCTGTTAGTGGCCTGTCTCCTCTGCTGTCCCTGTCATGACTTCATCAATATTGGTACAACTCTTTTTGCTCTGTGCTGAAAGCAGACTTAATTCAATTATAGGTCTCAAAACTGATAAAAACGGTCCTGAAGTGGAAAATGCGAAGAGATTATTGGCAAATGAATAAAGATTTGTATCGAACTAACACGCAGGAGTACAGCAGGTTTGGGTTTTTTTTCTTTAATAATTCCCTGCCTTAAGTCTTCTGGGAACAGCGAGTTTCCCTTCCCCTCATGCAGCACATCGATTTCTGAATTAGACTGCAATATTAAATAATTAATATACTTGCCATGATTGATGTTTTGCATTAGTTGAATATTAGGTTATCAATCAAAATCCACTTGGTTTAATGTAATAATATTGAAAAAGTGTCACTGGCTGTTCATCCAATTTGTAGTTGAGGCAGCACAGATAGTAATATTGGTGTAACACACGGCTCTAACGCAGGAAATGCAGTGGCTGAACATCCATAAGGCAGACATTATCAAACAAACCAGGACAAGGTTGAGGCTGTCCTAAATAAACCCCGTGGCACCTGCCAGTTTCAATGAAGTGCTCCTTCTGCTGCCACGCAGCAGACAGCAGGGACAACTAGCGAAGCCACGCATCGGTTGTTCTTTCTAGTTAAAAACAATTATCCAAACAAGATTCCTTTCAAATACTGCCTTACACAAAATCACAACTGTTGCTACAGCTCAGCCGTGATGTGCTTCAAAGTTCAAATGAGCCTTCAACCTCCACTGAATGCCTTAATCATCAATGACATAAAACACTACGAGTGAGTGGCAGTTGTTATGCACATCCAGTACTGCTGTACTCCTAGAAACACCAGAAGTTGCATCAATATAAATTATCTTGATCAGGTGAAGAAGTTTTGCTAAAAACTTCTACACCACCCTACACAGCTCCCATGAGAACAACTAATTGCCTTTCAAACAGTCTCTCCATGCATTTCATCTGTTTCTCTGGTTTGTTAGGCAAACTTGGTTTAGACTCAAGTTTCCTTTTTCCCTACACAGAAGCTCTGGCACTGTGCTTCTGGGTCTGGGACAGAAAAGAGTTGGTGACATAGATCACCAGTTCACATGTATGTATTTTAAAACCATACACCAAAACCAACAAGCACAATATTTGGGACAATCCAAACATTAGCTTCTGGTAATCAGAGAATCCTAGAATGGCCTGGGTTGAAAAGGAGCACAGTGCTCATCCAGTTCCAACCCCCTGATGCGTGCAGGTCACCAACCAGCAGCCCAGGCTGCCCAGAGCCACATCCAGCCTGGCCTTGAATGCCTGCAGGGATGGGGCATCCACAGCCTCCTTGGGCAACCTGTGCCAGTGCCTCACCACCCTCTGGCTGAAAGTAACATCAAACAGAAAAACGAGGGACCTACAAGGCCGCAGGAATTCAATGAAGCAAATGTAGCCAGCTTTTGGAGTACTAGAAGCTGTCATGTAGGTGACTGATGTTAACTTCTATGCATCATAACGTATTGTTACATTAACTTAATGTAACTAAAGTTCACTTATTAGCACTAGCACTTTTGCTAGTGAAGTAAATTGAAATAAACTTACTTCAAATGAAAATGAACATGTTCACATTCTTCAGTCCCCCTCATGTTATCAGCTTGTTACCAAGCTTTCCCTTGTATATGTAGTTAGCAAACTCTTTGCCAGTGCTTACTGAGCAGAACCCACACATCACAGAATAATTCCACAGTACCTCTGGATGCTGAAGGATCATTCTGCTGTCCCAGATCACAGGACAGCTCGGGCTGAGGGCACGGTGGGCTCTGGGGCCAGGCCACCAGGCTTTGTCCATTCATGGTCTGGAAGCACAGCCTGAGGAGGCAGCCCTACTACTCATAAAACATGCCCACCCAGAGGGCATACACCTTACACCTAGTCCCCAGCATCTCTTTCAGCCCATGCTGGCTGCTCTCTCCCCCCAGCTCTGACTCCCTTCCCCACAGCCCCTCCATCCCTCAGCACAGTGCCCTCCCAGCCCTCCTCTGGCCGCTGCCCCTCTCTCCTCGCAGGGATGGAGCTCCAGCCCCTCACCACCTTACTGCCCTCAGCTCCACTCTACGCAGTCCCAGATGTCCGATTTTGCTCCTCAGAGGACAAATGAATAAATAAAACATTTCATTGTTAGCAAGGCCCTTGGCAGCACGCCCTCTGGTTGCACAATATTAACTACAAACTACGAAGAACAGGGTCAGATGCAGCAGTTCAGGTCACGCAGCACCACACTCTCAAATAAAAGCCTTTGAATTCCACTCTGCAAACACCAGCATTTGGTTGGTGATCGCACAGCACCGTCCTAAGTTGTCTCAGATTTTCATGGAGCTCTCTCACATTTGCCACTCCACTCACTGGACCACTCAACAAGCACATCCCATAGTGGTGAATGCTTTAGAACCCAGTAAGGCAGATCCAGATACGGGATCTATTGCACAAACCATTATTAATAACTCAGGCTAGCATTGTTAACACTCCAGGTTCTGACTAAATTACAGCATTTGTGTAAAAACAGAAGCCAGCAAACAACCACAGCTGTTAACAGCTTCCCTTCTCTCTCAGAATATGGAAATCTCCCATCCAAAACTCAACCAGCAGCAAGATCATTTCTTTCAATGGCCAATATCTCATGGTTTCCCAGACCAGAGCTTGACATTGCATATACTGCCAGCAAAAAGAAAATTAGTTTTCCATGTATTCACTTCTACCCTTGGATACCCCAAGGCAGAGAGCAGGAGGAATGTAAGGAATAAGGTGCTGGGTTTGGGAAGGCATACCATGCTTTTGTCTGATTCCAGAAAGATAAGAGCCTGATACAGGGGAAAAGCCTGCTATCAGAAATAACCTGGATAAACACACCGTTATGACATCTGCACACTGAGCAGTCAGTGGTTACTGCGCACTTGCAGCTCCAGTCTCAGCTAGATGGAATTTCACTGTCAGAGCTGCAGAGTCCCAGACGTAGCTTTTAGGAATGGACAACCCCATCGTACCGCACCAAATTTTATAGCTTCAGTATTGTTGTGTTTTCTGTAAAATTATAGGCGATGTTTCCAAGTCTGACTGCAGACCACAGAGACTAATTTCAGCACGCTTTGGGAGAAGCAACAAAGATGACATAGAAATCCAAGCCGTGCCTGTTCTCTCCTTCAAACCACCTACAAGAGGACAGTGCTGACTCTCCCAAGAGAACAGGTAAATCCAGACCTACTGACTTCTGATGGCAAGCTGGTCCAACACAGCACCAGAGGTCCGGCAGAACTGCCTGTAAAGGCTGTGCAGTGTGCAGGAACAGAACTCCAACAAACGCCTTGCTCTTCAACATGACCTGTTAACATTCTCTGGGTTGTAAATAAAATCAGTTAGTAGTAAAGAAAGTGTACTTTTCTTTTCTTTTGTGAAGAAAAGTACAGTTTATATGTTTTGTAGCTAAGTGAAAATTACATCAAAGAGAGCCTACAAAAGGCAAGAGGGGAAAGCCATGAAAGGAAGCTATTTCCTCTTACGTAAGGATGGAGGAAAAGAAACCTGAGTTTAGGAACTAACACAGGCACTACTAC